CCGCCCGGACGGCGACGGCGCGCCGCGCGGCGCCCCGCAGCGCCCGCGCCGCGCGCGTCCGCACCGCGCGCGCGCGCGCGGCGCCGCCGCGGGCCCGGGCCGCGAGCGCCGTCGCCGCTCCGCGGCGCCGGCGGAGCTCCGCGGCGCGCTTCCGGTCCGCGCGGTCCCGGGCCGCGGCCTGCACGACCAGCGCGGCCCCGACGCGCGCGTCGTCGCGCGCGCGGCGCCGCCGGTCGGCCGCGCGCCTCGCGAGCAGGGCCCGCGCGCCCCGCTGGAGCCCGGGCGCCGCGGCGCGCTCCGCCGCGGCCTGGGCCGCCCGCCGCTCGCGCGCCCGCAGCCGCTCGGCCTTTTCTCTGCGTTTCCGCGCGACGCGCTTGGCCGCGAGGCGGCCCCGGCACCAGTGGGCGAGCGTCGCGTGGGCCGCCTGCTTCCGGAGCTTGAGCGCGGCGGCCCGCTCCCGGTCGCGCTCGCGCATCTTGGCCATGGCGATGGCCGCGACCTTCTTGGCCCGGTTCGCGTCGCGCCGCGACGCGAGCACCCACGCGACGTACTTGCCCGCCTTGCGCCGGCGCGCCAGGGCCGCGATCGTCGTCGCCGCGGCCGCGCGCGCCGCGGCGGCCTTCGCCGCGGCCTCGGCCCGCCGGCGCTCCCGGCGTTCGCGCTTCGCCGCGGCCACGCGCCGCGCGACGCGCGCGCGGTAGAGCGCCTGGCACGTCGCCGCGGCGGCGGAGCGCGTGGCGTCGGACGCGACGGCGCGCCGGCCGCCGGACCGCCGCGCGAAGCCCCGCAGCGCCGCCTGGGCGACGACGGCCGCGCGGTGGTGGCGGCAGGCCTCGGCGATCTGGGCCACGAGGACCGCGGACGGCGTCACGCGGAGCACGGTCCGCCGGTTCTCCTCCTTGACCTGGGCAGCACAAGAGTGATTCAACGTCGCTTCAACGTGAGTAGTCCGCGCGCGCGCGTTCCGGGAAAAGCATCCACGCTTCGAGACCGCTCCGAGAGATGATCGCTCGTCCAAAAATCAGCCGAAACGAGTGGAAATCGGCCGAGAAAGGAGCCTTTGAAGTTGGGAATGTCGCTCTCTTTTGCTGCCCCGTCCTCGACGACGGCGTCGAGTTCGCCGCAGACGAGCTCGACGGCCATGGCGATCGTCGCCCGCGCGTCGCGCGGCTGGAGCACGGTCTCGCCGGCGCCCGCGGGCGTCGCGCGCGCGGCCGCGGCCGCCGCCCACGGCGTCTCCCAGTCGAGGCGCGTCGTCGTCTCCGGCGCGAGGCTCCCGACGAGGCGCCGCCGCGCGCGCGCGTCGTGGCGGTCGCGCATGGTCCGCGCCAGCGTCGGCGCCGCGCCCAGCGGGAACGACAGGGCCGCGTGGAGCCGCGACGCGGGGTCCCTCAACCGGACCTCGACGACGTCCGGCGCGGCCCGCGCGCGCGCGGACACCTCCATGAGCGCGCCGCCGACGACGAGGCGCTCCCGCAACAGGCACACGCGGCCGCCCGGCGCCACGCGCGTCTCGCCGTCCTCCCAGGGCGCGCCGGGCCGGTCCTTGGCCACGAGGCCGTGGGGCCCGCCGTCCGCCGGCGGCGCGCGCGGGCTCGCCCTCGGCGGCGCCTTGACGAGCTGGCGCGTCGCCTTCGCCTGGTGCTTGGACGCGAGCGTCGACCGGAAGGCGCACTCGCCGACGAGCTCGCGGTAGAGCGCGAGCTTCTGGTCGTCCGTCGGCGCCGCGGCGTCGACGTAGCGCGCGTGGAGCTCCGACGACGCGGAGTACTCGTCGCCGCGCTCGAGGTCGACGGCGTGGACGACGGCGCGCCACTCGCGCTGGACGACGGTGACGGCGCAGGGCACGCCGCCGACGTCGCAGAGCTCCGAGAGCACGACCCCGTCGGGCACGCCGACGCGCGCGCCGGACCGCGCGAGCCTGGGCAGCAAAAGGGTGATTCAACGTCGCTTCAATGTGAGTGTTCCGCGCGCGCGCGTTCCGGAAAAAGCATCCACGCTTCGAGACCGCTCCGAGAGATGATCGCTCGTCCAAAAATCAGCCGAAACGAGTGGAAAACGGCCGAGAGAGGAGCCTTTGAAGTTGGGAATTTCGCTCTCTTTTGCTGCCCTGGCGCGAGCGGCGACGCGGACGTGAGGCCCCGGTCGACGCCCGAGGCCAGGGTGAGGGGTAGGGCGTCGGCGTCGCCGCGGTCGTGGTAGGACGACGTGAAGTGGGCGTTCTCCGGTCCGTGGGCGCTGCCGGGCCGCCGCGGCGGCGCGCGCGGCTTCGCCGGCTTCTCCGGGGGCCGGTAGACGACGCCCGCCTGGAGCGCGTGGGCCGGCGGCGGCCGCGCGGGCGCCCGCGGCGGCTTCTTCTGCCGCTTGTTCGGCCGCTTCGGCGGCGGGCGCCGCCGGTAGTACATGAGCCGCCGCTGGCTCTCGTCGTCGTTTTTCAGGGTTTCGCCGACGACTTTCGCGAAGGCCGGCCGCGGCGGCGGCTTCGGCCGCGGCGCGGCGGGGCCCGCGGGCTTGGGCCCGGCCCAGAGCTTCGCCGCCGCCGCCGCGGCGACGTCGCTGCTCCGGCCGCAGCAGCCGCACGCGTCGCGGCCCGCGTCGTTCGACGACCCGCAGAGCGCGCAGGCCCAGCCGCCGGCCTTGGGCCGCTTCTTCGCGCCCGTCGGCGTCTTGCGCCCCGCGGGCCTCGGCCGCCCGCCGGCGGCGAGGGGCGACGCGGCCTCGCGGGGGCCCGGGCTCCGGCCGCGCTTCCGCGACGCGGGCGACGGCGGCGGCGTCCGCCGCGCGGACGGCGGCGGCGACGGCCCGCGCGCGAGGGCCGTGGACGCGGGCGCGGGCGACCGCGCCGACGGCGGCGGCGACGCGCGGCGCGGCGGCGCGCCGAGCTCCGGCGCGCCGAGCGGGCGCGGCGGCGCGCCGAGCTCGGGCGCGGGCGCGGCGCCTCCGGACCGCGCGAGGAACTTGTCGCGCGCGGCCGCGTCCTCGGCGGCCGCGCGCAGCTCCGTCTGCCGCGTGAGGGCGTTCTCCTTCTCGAAGGCGGCGCAGGAGTACTTGGGCGGCGGCGGCTCGACGTCGCGGCCGCCGCGCGCGTCGAGCGCGGCCGCGCGCGCGGCGCGCGCCTGCGCGAGGCTCTGCGCCGCGGGGCTCTTGCGGCTCGACGGGCTCGCGGGCGGCGGGCCCCGGGACCGCGGCGGCGTGCCGCGCTCGAGGCTCGCGAGCCGCTGGCGCTCCGCGAAGGCCTCCTCCGCGGCGCGCGCGGAGAGCAACGCGGGCGCGGACGCGGAGCCGGCCGTCGCGCCGTCCGGGCTCGCGGCGGGCCGTCCCGGCCCCCGCGGCGGCGGCCGCGGCCCGCGCGGCGGCGGCGCGTAGCCCCGGGGCAGGCCCGACGGCGGCGCGCCGCGCGGCGGGCTCGGCTGGTTCGGCGGCCGCAGGCCCGGCGGCCGCAGGCCCGGCGGCGCGGGCGCGCGCGGGCCCCGGGGCGCCGCGGGCTGCGGCGCGACGCCCTCGGCGGCGTACATGGCCGCGGCGCCGGTCTGCATGGGCTTCACGGCCCAGGCCGCGCCCGCGGCGACGGCGTGGGGCGGCGCGGCGCCGCGCGGCGGGCCCGGGACCGCGGCGGCGGCCGCGGGCCCCGCGGCGGCGGCGCGCCGCGGCCCGCGGGCGTCGCCGCGCCGCGCGGCGGCGACTCGCCGAAGGACGGCCGCAGCGCCGCGTCGGCCGTCGACACGGAGAGCGGCGCCGCGGGCCGGGCCATGGGCGCCGACGGGCCCCGGGGCGGCGCGGCGACGTGGCGGCTCCGCGTCGACGCGCGGACCACCTTCGCGCGCTCCGCGGCGGCCGCGCGCGCGCGGCTGATGACCGTCTCCGTCGGAATCTTGCGCGGCCCGTGGGGCGACTCGGCCGCCGGCGTCGTCGCGCGCGCCTGGCTCGCCGCCCGCGCGCGCCCGATGGCCGCCGCCGTCGGAACGACGAAGCCGTTGCCGCACTCGTCGTCGTCGTCGCCGGCGTCCGCGGCCGCGCGCGCCCGCCGCGGCGGCGGCCGCGCGGGCACGACGAAGCCGTTGGCCATGGACTCGTCGTCGTCGTCGAGGCGGAAGCTCCGCCGCGGCGGCCGCTGCGGCGGCGCCTCGGCGGGCCGCTTCTTCGGCGCCAGGACGACGAAGCCGTTGGCCATGGACTCGTCGTCGTCGGCCATGTCGCGCTCTTATCTCCTCATGGTTCCCATCGGCGCTCGACGCCGCAGCGTCGCGCTGCCCGCGACCGACCAGGCGGACGCGACCAGGCGGGGCGGTCGGTCAACGAGATCGTCCAGGTCGGGCAGCTACGCTGGGCTGCTGGGTGCGCGACGGCATTTGCTGTGGCCAAGCCGAAATTTCCTCGCGTGACACGTGATGGTGGAGTAAAGTAGCGTTTCTCCTCTGACACGCGCGTGCAACAACCCATGGCGCTCGGCGCGCGCGCCGGCGCTCGATTGGCGCGCCTCCTGCGCGCGCCGGCGCGCCGCTTCGCCGCCTCGAAGCATCCCATCCAGGAGGCCAAGGACCCGTCGAAGCGGCGCATCCTCGAGCTCGCCCTCGTGCGCCACGGCCAGAGCGAGGGCAACGTCGCCTACTCGAAGTCGGTGCACGGCGACTCGTCGATGTACAGCGGCAAGTTCCTCGACCGGCACAGCTCCCTCTGGCGGCTCACGGACCGGGGCCGGGGCGAGGCCGTCGAGGCCGGCGCGTGGCTCCGGGACCGTTGCGCGCCCTTCGACGCCTTCTACACGTCGGAGTTCCTGCGGGCCATGGAGACGGCGGCGCTCCTGGGCATGGACGGCGCGCAGTGGCACACGGAGACGAACTGCCGCGAGCGCGACTGGGGCGCGCTCGACCTGCTGCCCAAGGGCGGCGAGGACCCGGAGGAGGACCAGCGGCGGCGGCGCCACGGCCTCTACTTCGCGCCGAGCGGCGGCGAGTCGCTCGCGTCCGTGATCATCCGCGTCGACCTCATCCTCGCGTACCTCAACGGCCGCTACCCCGGCCGCCGCGTGCTCATGGTCTGCCACGGCGAGCTCATGTGGGCCTTCCGGCTCCGCTTCGAGAAGCTGAACCAGATCCAGTACCGCGACATGGCCGACGTCGCGCGCGGCGACGAGCGCATCCACAACGGGTCCGTGCTGAGGTTCAGCCGCCAGGACCCGGCCTCGGGCGCGATCCACGACCACTTCCGCTTCATGCAGCTCGCGACGCCCTGGCACGCCGACGAGGCGAAGCGGCGGCCCCAGTGGCGCACGTTCCGGCCCAACTCCTACTCGAACGGGGAGCTCCTCGACCTCGTCAACCGGTTCCCGCGCTACTACGAGGGCAGCCTGAGCGACCCGCCGGACGAGCCGGACTCGTGATCCTGGGCGTTCTCCGCTGGGCGGGGTAAGGCTCTCGTGCAGAATGTATGTAGTCGTGGTGGTTGTCGCCTGCGCGAGTCCGGCGGCTGCCCGCGCGCGCAGCGAACCTCAGCGACGTGTGCGGTCGAGGAGGCAGGTGCACCTTGGACTTGGCGGCATCTCCCACTCGTGAGCTCAGCCTCATCTCCATCGGCGTCGGCGTGGGGTTGGCCTCGACGTCGTCGTCCTCGCGCGACCGCGCCGCGACGCGCCATGCTCCGCGTCGCCCTGAATCGGTCGGCCCTCCCGCGGCGGCGGTGCGCCCTCCCGCGGCGCGTCCAGCTCCGGTCCTTGACCGCGTCGGGCTACAAGAAGGTCCTGGTGGTGGTCAAGCACACGCCCTACGAGGCGTACACGCAGCTGCGGCTCCAGGGCAAGGCGCCCAAGGCCCTGCGCTGGGAGCGGCTGCTGGACCGCCACGAGTCGCACCGCGCGTGCGTCGAGGAGCTCTGCGCGATCGTGCGCCGCGAGGTGAGCCCGAGCAACGTCACGGTCGTGAGCCGCGACGACCTCGGGCGGCACCACGTCGAGGACGTGGACCTGCTCGTGGCCGTCGGCGGCGACGGGACGGTCCTGTCCTGCACGCACTTCGTGGACTCGCAGACGCGCGGCGGCGCGGGCGGCCGCGGGCCCGTCGTCCTGGGCGTCAACTCGGACCCGACGAAGGCGCACGAGCGCGTCGGCGCCTGCGCCAAGTCGTCCGACGAGCGCCGGTCCTACGGCGCGCTCTGCTTCGCCAAGGCGGACAACATGGAGGACCTCGTGCCCCGCGTGCTCCGGGGCGAGCTCGACGCGGCGATCCAGAAGCGGCACCGCCTCGCCGTGACGATCAAGGGCACGGTCTCCGAGACGCGCATGCCGCCGGCGCTCAACGACGTGCTGATCGCCCACCCGTCGCCGGGCGCCGTGAGCCGCTTCCGCCTCGACCGCGCGCGGAACGACGCGCCGGGCGTGCCGTCCGCGGCTGTGTGGAATTCAAATCTTCAACCCGACTTCAATGTGAGCGTATGCGACAGTTTTGACGCAAGATCTTCGGCTGTGCTTCGAGAACTCGACGAGAGCAATCGATTCGTCCAAAAATCAGCCGAATCGACTTCGATTTGACCGAGCTAGAGAATTCTCAAGTTTGGTCAGGACCACCCAAACCAGTGGTTGAATTCCACACAGGTCCGCGGACCACGGCGACGACGAGTACTCGTTCAACGTCTGGAGCTCCGGGCTCTGGGTGTCCACGGCGACGGGCGCGACGGGCGCCATGGCCTCCGCCGGCGGCGACGCGGGCGTCGACATCCGCTCGCCGGACCTCCAGTACATGGTCCGCGAGCACCTCGTCGGCGAGAACGACGACATCGCGTTCGTCCGCTCAAAGTCCCACGGCTTCGTCGACCCGCAGCACCACCTCCAGGTCCGCTGGAACTCGCAGCACGGCTGCGTCTACATCGACGGCCACCACACCCGTTTTGACGTCGAGCTCGGCGACACGGTCATCGTGTCCTCGCACGCGTCCCCGCTCCGCCTCTTCTCCAACTTCGCCTGAAGGGGGGCGCCTCGGGCGCGCCCGCAAAAGCTTTAACATACTCTCCAATTTGTCGAAGGAGCAAGCTTCAACATACTCGCCAGTTAGTAGAAGTACGTCGCGCCGGTCGGGTCGTAGGCCCCCGGCGGCGGCGGCGGCGGCGCGGCGCCGTAGAGCACGGGCGGCGGCGGCGCGCCGTAGAGCACGGGCGGCGGCGGCGGCGGCGCGCCGACGAGCAGGGGCACGGGCGGCGCGACCATGCCGTTCGGGTTCGGCGGCGGCAGGTAGAGCTGCGACGGCATCATCATGGGCATCGGGAACGCGGGCGGGGCCATGCCCATCATGCGCGCCTGCGCGCCCGCCTGCGCGCCCGCCAACGCGGCGGCAGTGTTCGCGTTTTGCCGGGCGCGCAGCTTCGTCTGCGCGGAGTCGATGCCATCGACGATGGCGGTGAGCGTGCCGCCGTCGACGAAGCCGCCGCCGTCTCCTCCCTCCTGAATCCCCGCGTCGAGCCCCGCGTCCGTGACGACCGTGACCCGGTCCGACGCGTCGACGGCCGCGGCGGCCCGCGCGAGGTCGCCGGCCTGGACCGCGGCGGACGCGGCCGCGAGCGCCGCGCCGGTCAGCGACGACGACGGCTCCGGGCTCGACGGGCGGGACGGGCGGAAGGGCTCGGCCTCGATGGAGACGCCGCGCTTCGGCGCGGGCGCGAAGGGCGCCGCGGCGACGTCGTGGCCGCCGCGCTTGAGCGCCGCCGCGACCGCGGCCTCGGCGGACGCCGCGTCGCGCGCGCGCGCGGCCGCGGCCGCCTCGGCCTCGGCCGCGGCCTCGAGCCGCGCGGCGGCCTCGGCCGCCGCCGCCGCCCGCCGCTGCGCCTCGGCCTCGCGCGGCGCCGCGGCCTCGGACTCGCGGACCCGCGCCGCCGCCCGCTCGTCGCGGCGCCGCCGCTCCGCGGCCTGCGCCTCGGCGCGCCGGCGCGCCTCCTCGGCCGCGCGCTGCTCGTCGCGGCGCCGCTGGGCCGCCGCGCGCTCCGCGGCCTCGGCGCGCCCGTCGTCGCGCCGCCGGGCCCGCGCGGCCGCCGCCGCGTCCGGCGCCGCGGGGCCGCCGAGCGCGGGGAAGTGCTCCGCCGACGGCGGCGCGCCCGCGCGCGTCCGCGGCGGCTTCGGCGCCCCGGCGCCGCCCCAGACGGGCGCCCGGGGCTGCACGGGCTCGCCCGTCGCGATGCTCACGACGTTCTTGATGTCGCCCCGGCAGTTGGGGCACGGCATGGCCTTCGTCGCCTTGTTGACCTGCTCGCGCTTCCACTGCATGAGGCACTCCTCGCAGAACTCGTGCTTCCCCGGGCAGTCCACGCGCAGGGCCACGGCCTCCTCCATGCAGATGCCGCAGAGCCCGTCGTCGTCGCCGAACGCTTCCGCCGCGGGCTCGAGGGGCGTCGGCGTCGCGGCGCGCGACGTCGCGCGGCTCGACGCCTGGCGGTCGCTCAGCGCCTGCTTGAAGCGCGTCCGCGGGCCCAGGGGCAGGCCCAGGCCCTTGAGGTCGTCCTCGTCGAGGCAGTCGAGGCACGAGTCGTCGATCTCCTCGTCTTTGAACTTGGGCAGGAAGCGCGACAGGCTCAGGTCCGCCAGGAGCTGTTCGAGTTCGTGGGTCGTGGCCATGGTTTCTCGGGCGGCGCGTCGGGAGCGCGGGCGACAGTGTGGCCTTAGCCGCAGAGTCTTGAAAAACACGACGACGACGGTGGTGCGTCTGGTTGGCTCGGACACCCGTCGAGCGGCAACATCGCCCGCATCAACAAGGTGAAGCGCCCTGTGGCATGATGACCACCACGTCTGAGACGAAGCGCCTGCGCCTCGTCGCCCTGTGCCTCGCTCTCGCGGCGCCCACCACCTCCTTCTTTTCCCCTCTCCGACGACACCAACACACAACTATCCGGTCGTCGCCCGACGACGACGACGAGGCGCCGAGCGTCGACGGCGAGGACTGGCGCGCCTTCCGGGCGAAGCTCATCGCGGGCGGCCTGGCGACGACGGAGGAGGCGGCGGAGGCGCCCGCGGGTCCGGCGACGGTCGGGTCCGGCGTGGGCCTCGACCCGGCGAACGAGGCGCTCGCGCGCGCGCAGAGCCCGAGCCTCGGCGATCTCCTCGAGGAGCCGAGCTGGGCGCACGAGGTCGGCGCGCCCGAGGTCGGCGGGCTGCTCCTGCGGCTCCCGCTGGAGACGCAGCTCTGCGTCGCCCGCGACAGCTACTGGGGGAAGAAGCTGCGCGAGTTCCACGAGGCCGAGAAGACGCGCGAGGCCATGGCCGAGGGCCGGCGGTCGGGTTTAGGCGCGTCCGAGCTGCCCGCGCGCGCGCCCGCGGCCGACGCGGGCGAGGGCGCCCTCGACGAGGTGCTGCTCTACCGCTGCGCGTCGCGGTTCCTGCGCCGCGAGCTCCAGCGCGTCGCGTCGAAGGGCCAGGTCGACGACAAGGGCCGGCTGCTCCTGGACCCGCGGACGCTGAGCGACGCGGACCGGGGCCTGCTGGACATGCACCAGCGCTACCTCTCGACGTGGCAGGAGGTCGTGCTCGTGACGCGCCACGACGGCGCCGCCGGCTCCGACGGCGTCGTCCTCAACCGGCCCGCGGCGACGGAGAGCTCCGATGAGCTCAGCGCCGCGTTGTGCGTCGCGCTCGAGCGCGAGGAGGGCGCGGACACGGTGGCGCCGGAGAACTTCCAGACGGCCTTCGGTCCCCGGCTGGCGGCCTACGTCGGCAAGCCCGCGCCGGGTGCCGCGCCCGCCGACGACGGCGAGGAGAAGGCGCAAAAGCCCAAGCAGACGGCGATGATCATCCACGGCCTCGCGGGCCTGAAGGGCGCCGAGGAGCTGAGCCCGGGCCTGGGCATCTACAAGGGCGGCTCCGCCGAGGCCGCGCAGCGCGTCCAGGACGAATCCAACGACCCCTACGACTTCCGCTTCTTCATCGGCAAGCACGAGTGGGCGCCGGGCGAGCTCGAGCGCGACATCCGCGAGGGCCTCTACCGGCCCGCGGCCTGCAGCCGCGGCGTCGCGCTCAAGCAGTGCCTCGGCCTGCCGAAGCCCCTCTGGCACGAGGTCATGGAGATGCTCGGCGGCACGTCCGAGGAGATCTCCAAGCTCGAGCTCCAGCGCCGCAAGGACAGCTGAGCGCCGCCGCGGCGGGGGTCGGGCGGCCTAACTTGCCGTTCGCCTACTCTAGTGTGCGCCGCTCGCGAGGGCGGCCGATGTCGCTCGGTGCGGTCTGTCGCGCCGCCGGCTCTTCAAATTCGGTCCTTGAACATTCGAATGAAGCTGCCCCAGAATCGCGGCAAGGGGATATAAATCTAGACCAAGGGCGCGCGCGCGTCTTTGAGGTGCACGGGGCCCACCGTTTCGACGACGAGGTCTGGGAGGTCCACGTCGGCGATCGCCTCCTTGAACCCGTCGAAGGCGGCCATCTCGAAGGCGACAAAGGCCCTGGTAATAGTCAGCTTCTCCTCCCGCGAGAGCTGGTCCGTGACGGAGTGCATCTGGTTCCAGAGCGTCTGCTGCTCGTCGATGATCGTCAACCGTTGCTCGAAGAACGCCTTCGACGCCGCCATGCCGCCGCCCGCAGATTTCGAGGAGGTCATTGCCAAGGCGTCGATGAGGTCCTCGAAGAAGCGGTCCCCGAAGTCCGCCGCGCCCTGGACCGGCTCGTCATCTTTCAGCAGTCGATCGACGACGTCGGCCGCCGCCGTCACGTCCTTGAGCATCGACTTCGCGTCGGCGAGGGCGGCTGCTGTGAGGTCCCGCAGGCAGCCGATGCGCGCGGCGATGCGCTGCTTGAGGTCCTCGCGCGACGCCTACGATGCAGTCGATGAGATCATGGCCCCGCGACGACGCGGCGCCGGGAAAACACGTCGAGCGTGAGCGCGACGGCGGCCGGGTTCTTCGCCTTCTTCCACGAGGTGAGCTGCCTCGAGACCTGCGTGCGCACGAGCTCGATCTCCGTGATGAACTTGTCGAGCTTCTCGTCGACGCCCTCCCTCGGTAGGTTCGAGCTGCGCCAGCCCACGTAGTTCTCGTCGAAGAACTTCCAGAGGCGGCGCTTCTGGGACGCGTCGATCGGCCGCCTGTGGCCCGGCACGTCGGCGTCGGCCGCGGGCGGCGCGTCCGCTGTGGGGGGCCCCTCTACGCCGGGCGCGCCCTCCTGGCCCTCCATTGCGTCCGGGCAGCCCGCGGCACCTTCCCCCGCGATCTCATGGTTGCAGTACGAGGACCTCGCGCGGCAATATCTCGTTGAGCTGCCACCCCATACTATTTATTACCCCTTGATCGCGGCCAATGGGCGCTCGCTACCTCCTCGCGCTGGCCGCCGCCTGCGCCGCCGTCGACGTTGCGTACTTCCGCGACGATCCGGCGGCGAAGACGCGGCTGAACGTCGTCGCGGACGAAGGCGCGGCGTGGCTGCAATCGCACGACACGACCATCGAAATCTTCGACAGCCCCAAGCCCGTGCACGTCTACCGCGTCGTGGTCACGGGCGTGCCCACGTCGACGGTGACGCTCTACCCCGCCAAGCTCGGCGGCGGGCTGCGTTTCCCGGGCGCGGCCTACATTTTCTCGAACGCGACGTACAACTGCTCCGACGCGACGAACGCGTCCGCCGCGCGCCGCGTGCGCTACTTCGACGGCGTCGCGTGGATCCAGGCCGGCGGCGCGGCGCGCTTCGACGTCTACATCGACAAAGCCGGCGCCTCCATGCTCTTCTTCGTGTCGTCCGGGCCGCTCGATTTCTCGCCGTCGGCCGCCGAATCGGCGCCGCTCCGCGTCGTCGCGGGCCGCGACGCGCTCGCCGCCAGCGCGACGCCCTATCGGCTCACGGGCAACTGCTCCGACGGCGCCATCCACCCGGAGCTCCCGGCGGACTACTCGAACCTCGACGAGCCCATCGGGCCGCTGGCCGCGCACTACCACACGCGCGGCGCGTTGTACCACGTGCTCTACGGCAGCGCCACGTTCAACGACCCGGGCATCGCCGACGACACGCTCCGAGCCGGCGAGGTCCGCTTCGTGAACGACGGCGTCTACTACGGCCCGGAGACGATGGACCGGTCGCCCTCCTTCGTCGTCAGCCTCCACGAGCCGGACCCGTCGAAGGTGCGGGTCCTCGCCGCGGCGGCGCAGGACGACGAGTTCGCGACGCAGTGCCCCTTCGCCTGCTTCACGAACCGGACGGCGACGGCGCGCTGCGTTGCGGTCTAAGTTTGCCTGCACCGAGTCGGTTGGGCTGCCCATCTGAACACGATGGTGCGCGCCTCCCTGCTGCTGCTCGCGCCGTTCGCGGCGAGCGACGAGCTGCCGACGACGCTGTCGTACCGCCCCGCGAGCGCCGCGACCGACGAGTGGTCGCCGGCGCCCTTCATGAGGCACGGCGCGCCGGCCCGGCTCGTCTCCCGGCGCGGCGGCTTCGACGCCCCGGCGCCGGCGGACGCGTCCTACGACTGGCTGCGGCCCGGCGCCTGGGACGGCTACGTGGCGGCCCTCTACGGCGGCACGGCGAAGGGCGCGCCGACGATCGGCGACGTCGACCTCGTCTACGACGTCGACGGCCTCCTCGACGGCGTCACCGTCGACTTCGCGTGCCCCGCGCGGGACGACCGGCCCTTCAAGCGCTTCAACTGGCACGCGCCCTACAACGAGGTCCACTACTTCCGGCGGCGCACGGCCGTCGACCGGCCGCCGGCCGCCCACGGCAACGGCACCTGGGTCGAGGTCTCGCACTGCGGCGGCTCGCGCTTCGAGAAGGTCGGCGCGTTCTTCTACGTCTTCCGCGGCAGCGGCCTCTACGTCAACGTGGGGCGCAGCATCGCCTTCGAGACGCACCAGGACGCGGCGCTCTATTTTTTAGGGCGGCCCTGCGACGGCAACCGCACGAAGCCCGCGGACGCGCGCCTCGGCATCTTCGAGTGCGACGGCGAGCTGCCGGCCGTCGTCTCGGCCGCGAGGCGCCGGGGCTGGGACAGCCTCCAGTTCACGCACCACTGCGACGCCTTCTGCGAGGGCGGCTCCATGAAGGCGGCGCTGAGCGGCGCGGACCCGCGGTCCCAGCTCTGCGGCTTCGAGCTCGTCCTTACGAACACGACGGGCGCGGGGCCCTGCCCGCCGGGCGTCCAGTTCCGCCGCGGCCTCGGCGGCGCCGAGCCCTGCGCCTGCGACGCCGACGCGCCCCTCCGCTCCCAGCGCGGCGCCTGCGCCGCCTGCGCCGCGGCATAAAGGCGCTCTCTCGATATCTTCTTTAGGCGCCCCTACAGGTCGAGGCGCGCGTGCGGCTTCCGGGGCCGCGCGCCCTCGGGCGTCTCGCAGACGTAGCAGCTCCAGGCGCCCTCGGGGACGTCGGCGAGGCCGCAGCAGGTCACGTGGAAGGCGCGCTCGCAGGTGTCGCAGCAGAGCAGCTCGCCGCCGGACCGGCAGATGAAGCAGTGGTCCTCGTTCGGGTCCGGCTCCGACGCGCCGCCCGCGCGGTCCGACGACGCGGACGACACCGCGCCGTCCTCCGACGCCGACGACGGCGGCGGCGGGGGGCGCCGCGAGGCCGGCGCCGCGCGCGGCCGCGCGGGGGCCGCGCCGGACGAGCCGCTGTCGCCGTCGTCGTCCGCGTAGACGCCGCGGCCGACGTAGACCCGCGGCCGCTTGCGCGGCGACGGCGCGCGCTGCGGCTTCGCCGCGCGCTCCTCGGGCGCGGCGGCGGCGGCGGCGGGCCGGGCGCGCTTGGCCGGCTTGCGCATGCGCCCCACGGGCACGTCGTCGTCGTCGTCGTCGTCGTCGTCGTCGTCGTCGTCGTCGTCGACGTAGGCGGGCGCGGCGCGCGCGCGCTTCGCCGGGGCCCGCGGCGACGCCCGCGAGGGCGGGGCCTTGGGCGGCGGCGCGGGCGCGGGCGGCTTGGGCTGGTCGTCGCCGTTGGCGACGCACTGCGGGCAGAACCAGTCGCCGTCGGGCACGGCGTCGAGGCCGATGCAGTGCGTGTGCGCCGTGGACACGCAGCGGCCGTCGCGGCCGTCGCAGAGGAGGAGCGAGCCGGCGTCGTGGTCCGTGCCGCAGACGGCGCAGGGGTAGACGCGGTCGCCGATGAAGCGGAAGTAGCGGCCCTCGACGTGGTCGACGCGGCCGAGGCACGCCTGGCCGATGGCGCCGTTGCTCAGGCCCGTGCACTTGGCCGCGTGCGTCGCGCTCGTGAATTCGCGCAGCACCGCGCCCGTTTTCGGGTCGACCTCGCAGCAGGGCTTGGGCCCGCCGGAGCGCACCCAGGGCACCTCGACGGCGTAGCGGAACTTGTGGCCGTCGCACGACTCCGTCGCGCCCGAGAGCACGTGCGTGATCTTGGGCCCGCCGACGCCCAACTTCCGCGCGGCGTCGGACGTCGAGCAGTACTCCTCGAGCACGGCGCCCGTCTCGCCGCAGTAGCGCACGATGGCCCGCGTGCGGCCGCTGCGGCAGTAGCAGTTGGGCCGGCCGGACGTGCACCGCGTGACGCCCGTCGCGAGCTGCGCGCTGTTGAGCCCCGCGGCGAGCACCTTCTTGAGCACGGCGTCGTCGCCCGGCGGCTTCGCGATGAGCTTCTCGGCGACGACGGCGCCGTCGCTGTAGTCGACGATGCGGCCCTTCCACTGCGCGAACGGCGTCGTCACGGTCCGCGCGAACCCGAGCCGCCGGAAGAACGCGAACGCGGCCTCGTCCGCGTAGGCCAGCGTCGCCGTCGCGCCGCGCTCGCGCCGCGTCCGCGCCTCGAGGCGCCGCATGAGCCGGCCGCCCAAGCCCCGGCCCTGGTGCTCGTGGCGCACGGCGATGAGCGACAGCTCGACGAACGTCACGCCGCCCGGCACGGCCGGCGGCCAGACGCGGTAGCAGCAGCCGCCGGCGACGGCCCGGGCGCCCGCGGGCGCGCTCCGGTCGACGATGGCGATGCACTCGTAGTCAGGCGAGTGCACGAGCTTGCCGCAGGCGACGTTGACGACGTAGGTCTGGAGCGTCTCCGCGAGGCCCGCGCGGAGCTCGTCGGCCGCGTCCGCGGCCGCGTCCGCCGCGGGCGCGCCGGCGCCGGGCGCGAGCTCCACGAAGGCCCAGTCGGGCGCCGCGGCGGGTTTCGTCGCGGGCGCCGCGGCGGGTTTCGTCGCGGCGGGCTTTGTTGCGGGCGCCGCGGCGGGTTTCGTCGCGGGCGCCGCGGCGGGCGCCTCGCGCGGCGGCGGTACCGCC